ACGGACATGAGTTTGGAAGGTGCTTTTGAAAGATCCTTTGTGAATTGTTGCAGGACATATTGTAGATGGTACACACTACTGCCACTGTGAATTGGTGGTGGAGAGAGTGAATGTTTATGGTGTTAGATAAAGTACCAATTAGATAGTTCTGAAGAAGGGTCACTGGACCCAAAATATTAACTCTGTTTTCTTTCTACAGATGCTGCTAGACCTGCTGAGTTTTCCCAGCTAGTTCTGTTTTTGTTTCTGAATTCCAGCACCTGCAGTTATTTTTTTTTTGTTTGATACCAATTAAGCAAACTGCTTTGTCCTTGATAGTTTTGTGTTTCTTGCAGTCAGCATATACACAATGGACCAAATGGCCATCTTCTTTGCAGTAATCAATCCATTTTATGCTTCAACATCTTTCCTTCAAGTAGTATTTAATGTAACTTCTAATGTGAGGCATTAAGTGTAGGGATAATTTTCATATAACATCCTCTTTGTTGTATTAAAATACATACAAACCAAAGGTACACAAAGGGGAAACAAAATCCGATTAATGTTTACCTAAAACTGTAATAAAAAATTAAAATAAAATTATAGCAACACATCTTTGATCAGAGATGTAGATATTTTTTATTCACTCATGGAATGTGGGCATCATGGGCTGGCCAGCATTTATTGTCTGTCCCTAGTCGCCCTTGAGAAGGTGGTGGCGAGCTGTCTTCTTGAACTGCTGCAGTCCGTATACTGTAGTGGATCTGCCTAGGTCATGAGGGGAAGGAGTTCCAGGATTTTGAACCAGCAACACTGAAGGAATGATGATACATTTCCAAGTCAGGATGGTGAGTGGCTCAGAGGAGAACTTGCAGTTGGTATTGTTCCCACATATCTGCTGACCTTGTGGAACGAGTATGGATTTGGAAAGAGTTATTAAATCAGTCCTAATGAAATTACACAGTGCATTAACAGGAGTGGGTTTTTTTTTGGGGTAGGGTTTGACTATTAATTTAAAAAAAAAAAACCTTTCCCTGGTGCACTGGTCATTGCTTCATCTGTGATTAGGCATCAGGTATTCAAATGAAACTCCAATGGACAGTGGTCTCCAAACAGTAACGTGTGTAAAATTGCCCTTCCTTACTTGTTACATTAGAACCTGCCATTCTCTTATAAAAAAGTTGAAAAATTATAAGTCAAAGAATTTTCAGTAAACATATGTGGTTGCTGAAATATTAATAGATTAAAGACAACCTTTATGAAATTTATGATAGATTCTCCCATTATTTCCATGGATGCATATTCTGAAAAATAAAAAAGACTATTTTACAGTCTCAACTGATGTGGTCTTATGTGCAATATTACACCAAATCTTGATTTGCATAAGTGATTGTACATACTGCATCTGAAGTCAGTGTCAGAGGAATGAATGGAAGCATTGTTGCACGCTCTCTTGTCCTGAAGAGTTTGTCCCCAGTTATTGAAATTGCTTGAAGACGAGCTTCCCCACTTGGGTCTGTCAAAGGTTGATTTTTCCTATGTATCGGGATCCAACTTGCAAGCTCGGAGGGTGAATTTCAGATTGTCTGTACATTGAAGTTTGGGACATTCTGAGATGTGACAGGTGGCTGTAGAACGGTCAATGGTAGCCAGAAATCCTCCGTGATCAACTCGGAGAAGAGAGGTCCAATTAGCAAATCAATGCCATATCTGCAGCACTTTGCAAGAACTTCTCTGATTGGCATTGTGTTATCACCTGATATTGTAAATAGATCTGATAGTAAAAGGTGGAATGCTTCTACGATAAAAACAAAGAACTGTGGATGCTGGAAATCTGAAACAAAAACAAAGTGCTGGAGAAAATCAGCAGGCTTGTCAGCACTTGTAGAGAGAAAAACAAAGTTAATGTTTCAAGTCCAGTGACCCTTCTTCAGAACTGAAAATAACGGAGAAAGGGTGATATCAGTGCTAGTGATGGGTGTATGTATGTGTGGGAGTGGGGAGGAAGTTAAGAGTACAAAGTGATTGCTAATAAGCAGAGAGGAAGAGATAAATGCTGGGTGGGATGCTAATGACAAGTGTAAATTGTTGAAAATGGGTTGGCTGTGCTGGGAGCAACCCACACAAAACAGGACCTAGGGATGTAGGGGTAGGTAACAAATGTTCACATTCTGAAATTGTGAAACTCAACGTTGAATCCGGAGGGCTGAGAGGTACTTAGGCAGAAGATGGAGTTGATGTTCCTCCAGCTTGCATTGTGCCTTGCTGGAGCATTGCAGTAGGCCCGAGACACAATGTTCCCATGCCAACATTTCTAATATGTTAAAGAGGCTGACAAGTCGAAGACTTGAATCATTTCTATGGTCATGCTGTAGAACAGAGTGACGGCAAAGCAGATACCCACTGTGTTTCATCTCCCCAGTGTAGAAGTGACCACATTTCGCTGCTTTACAAAGGCTAGATTGAATGAAGTGCAGATAAATCACTGCTTCACTTGGAAGTTATGTCTGGAGCCTTGGATAATAAGGGGGGAGGCTTCTAGTTGCTTTATATTATGTCAGTCAATTGTCCAAGACTCTCACACAAAGAGATGATGTTAAGACCTGCTGTTGGGAGACTTCTTTGTTCTGACAGCATAGATATAGGAGATGATATAGACCGTTTAGCCCATTATTCAATAAGATTGTTTGATCCAAAAATCATTAACTCCACTTTTCTGCCTTTCCCCCATAACCCTCAATTCCCCTGATTGAAAATTTGCTCATCTCACTTAAATATATTTAACAACCCACCTTCTGTAGCCCTCTGAAGAATTCCAAATTCATTACCCTCAGAAAAAAGTCCTCATCTGTTTTAACCGCCCTTACTAAGATTATGCCGTCTGGTCCTAGGCACAAAAAGAAACACTCCTTCTGCATTTACCCTGTAAGACCCCAATGAACACTGAATATTTCAATAAGGTTTCCTTTTATTCTTCTAAACTTCTGTAAGTTAAAACCTAACCTTAACCTTTCAAGACACTCCCTCCCTACCTGGGACCAACCTAATGAACGTTCTCCGAATGGCTTCCAATGCCAGTATATCTTTCCTTAACTAAAGGGAACTAAAACTGAGAGATAATTTCCAAGCTCCTTCCAAAATCTGAATGTGATTGCTACCAGTTCAAAAAAGTTGAACTTTTCAATGTGCAAAATTGGACTTTACACCCTTGATGCACAATACATAAATATACAATATGTAAATAAGCACAATACATGCTTTCTTTTTAAAAGAAATAATTGTATTAATATTCATTACAGACTTGTGACTAAACATGCTTATACTTGAAGCAGAAAACTTAAATAAATGTATTAATGAATAGATAAAAGAACATGGCAGAAAGTAGGAAATCAGCAGTTAGTGAATTTATAATTAGTTTGTAAAGAATTCAAAATCTCTAGAATTTATCACTATTTGAAGTTAGCTTCATGGAATCATTTTCAGACAGACCTCAAGGAAATAGCATAATTTTGTGGAAAGTAAATACTAAATTAAGGCTTGTTATTTCAAAGTTGAGTTTTCAAAGTCATCCAATCTATAGGATGATATCTACTATTATCTTTCCTGTACTTGCTCATTTTGGAGTTCTCTTCCTATTATGCATTGCTTAGTGACGTAGATTCAGTGTTGAAGTCCCAAATGAACAGAGAATTTCAGATCACGAGTAATTTGCAACCGAGGCGTGCTCACCCAAGGCAAATGTGTTGTATATGGAGTTGGGTCACAAATCAGCACGATTTTAGGCTCAAAGGCTTAATGTTATTCATTTTTCTATATCAAGTGGAAACTCACCACAGTTGGGAGCAATCTTCCCTCAGCTACATGGCCGTTGCAGGTCTCTGTGCAAGCAGATGAATGGCTGCTGCTTCCAGAACCCACTGCTGCACACGGACCTTGGAGGTCTGTGCAGTAGTGAAAGAAATTATAGGAAACATTGTCTGGCAGGTAGTATAGAATCAAGGTGTAAAGGAGGAGGGAAAATGTTATAACAATCAATCGTAACCATACAAAAGGAATGAGGAAAACTAATGGGGATTAATGCTCAAGTTCCCTACACTCAGTGCTTGCAGCTTAAAGTCTTAAAAGAAGTGTATGTAGAGATGGTAGATGTTTTGGGTGTAGTATTCAAAATTCTGCAAAGGTCCTAATTGATTGGAAAACCACAAATATAACAACAATGTTCAAAAAAGGAGACAACAGATTGTGGGAAACTATAGGCCAGTTTGCCTAACAGCTGTCATTGGGAAACTGCTGACATCCATTATTTAAGGAAGTAGTAACAAGACATTTAGAAAAGCATAAAATTATTAATCCTGCTTGATTCTTGAAAGGAAATAGTGTTTGACAATTTTTTTTTGAGCAGGGAGGATAAATAGGAATCTGTAGATGCAGACTACTTGGATTTCAATATGCTGGCTTATTAAAAGGTTACTATACAAGACAAGATTGGAGTATTGGGGTCAAAGTATTAGAAATGGACAAAGGAATGGGTGACTAATGAGAAGCAGTTTAGATAAAAATGTCATTTTTAAGTTGGAAAACAATAACTAGTAGGATACTGTGGGACCAGTGCAAGAGTCTCACCTATTTGCAATCTATGTTAGTAATGGAGAGGCACTGCATCTTAAGGATACATGGTAATGATGACAATCATGTGGCACATTCAAAGTAAGTTCACAAAGGGATGTATACCTCCAACCAGCTCCTGGGTGATTTCATATTCCCATATTGGCAAAAACAATTTCTTCATTCCCATTCAGGACAGTTAATATTTTGATGGGAGGTATACTAGTTTGTGATTACTCAAAATGGCAAAATGTTCATTCACCTACTCCCCCCATCAAAAGCCACGGTTTCTAAGATTCATTGGATATGTACCCTGTTTGAGATGTTTGTTACAGGTTGCGGCTGTCATGTAAACTGTTTCTCTATCAAGATCAGTTAGTTTTATACAAGGGGAATCAGGGCAAGGAAAACATGAATTGCAGTTTTCTTTTTCTCCTTTAATTATTTTGGCTTCAAGACTTTTATATCATAAAGTAACATTTGACAGAATCAGTGTTGAGTATCTAAAAAGCTACAAAGTATGACAATGGTTATGAAGATCCCTTAATCGTTTATTAAATCTTATTAGTAAGTAGCTTAAGATTTTCACATAATGCCACAAACACAACAAGGCAGAAGCAGCACACCCTGCCGACATTAATATGGATCATTAAAAGGGTAGTGGGGATGTTGTGCATCTCTGGGTACAAATTCATTGTCAACCTGCATTAACAAAGGAGGAAAAGGCATTAGTTCAAGAAATATGACATTACTATGCACACAATCCATAGCTCATTATTAACTAAATGTTTAATAATTTCTGATGCATTTTAGTATTGAACACACTCTTTTTAACCACGTGCCAGTATTAAGATGAATCAATCAATGGCTTAAGTGGCTAAAAGTAAACCTTCACATTACTAATAACAAAGTTTTCAAAAAATCTCCAAAGAAATCCAACATGCTACAGATATTGAAAACAAGATCATCTGATTAAATGGTGCTACTCCTCAAGACTAAAATCTAAACTATGCTCAGTTAAAGTTCACGTATTGAAGTGATTTTAGCAATAAATCTGAATTTTATTTACAGATGTCACGTGCAGTGCTACTTTGGAGGTGTAAAGATAGAATAGTTTGAAAAAGTTACCCATTTTACAGTAAAAATGGAACAATTTTAATATTCAGGGTGCAAGTGAGAATATAAATTTGAATAGGTAATCAGTTCTAGCCACACAGTACTCGACTGTGAAGTCAATATTGCAATCTCAGCTTTGACTGAAATTCAACTGCTTTCATCTATACAGCAGATAGGTCTCACTTAGGAGAGGCAAGATTTTGAGGGTTATGGCAAGGCCTTGTACACTTACTTTAATTTTCGGAACAATGTAACGCCAGTTTCTGTTGAGAGTTCCAATTCTTTTCATATCATCTTCAGTCAAGGTGAAATCAAACACCTAGAAGAGAACAACAATTACAAAATTGAGTGGAAAATAAGGAATTTTATTAACTGCTAACCAACTGGGAAAAAAAAACATGACAAACCCAGGCAATAAGTTCGCAAAAGGAGTGTGTGCAGCACAGAGAAATAAAGGTATGCAGTTCAAAAGTCCTTGCAACTTGGGGAGGTGTTAGCCTAATGTTATTATTGTTGGACTGCTATTCGAGAAACTCAGCTAATGTTCTGGAACCTTGGTTTGAATACTACAGCAGATGATTGAATTCGAATTCAATAAATATCTGGAATTAAGAGTCAAATAATGACAATTCAACCACTGCTGGTTGTTGGAAAAATCCATCTTGTTCGCTAATGTTCTTCAGTGAAGGAAATCTGCTACCTTTAACTGATCTGTTCACATGTCACTCCAGACCCGCAGCAATGTGACTGACTCTTAACTGTGCTTTGGAATGGCTTGGTTAGCCATTCAGGTGTAACAATCGCTATGACAGCACACGGAATGCAGCAGTTTAAGACGACAGCTCATCACCGTTTCAGAGCAACCAGGGAGAAGCAATAAATGCCGATGGAGCCGGCGATGCTCACCTCCCACAAGTGATTACTAAAAAATGTTATTTTTTAATGGATGATGACTGTTAAATTGTTGACCTGTATGCTCAGCAGTACTGACATTCATAAATAGTGTGTTCTTGGTAAACATTTATTTTCCCAGTGTGTTTTTTCACCTGGTGACGTTGCGTGGAACATGTGTCTCTTGTAGAGGCAGAACCAGAGAGATTTCTGGTTCTGACTTCCAAATGAATCTTCCTTTTCTCTCCTGCTGCTTAAAAGCAATTTTGAAATAGGGTTTAATTGTGGATTCCAGAGTCCATTCCCATTCTCTGTGCATTAGCCAGCTTGGTGAGACAATCTGTCATGTCCAATATATGAAATCACACAAGTATGAACTAAAACAGGAAATGAAAGTTTCTTGACACTGACATAGTTGTCTGGTTTTGATATCTTTTTTATAAAAAAAGTAGTTTAGTACATAGTTAAGTCCATGGAAGTTTCAGGTACAATAATCAGATGACAATTTTTAATTATAAAAATACTTTGTTTTAATCACTTTCTTAACAACTTATGGCTAAAATGACTAAGTAATAAACTGTTATCAATGTTTTATAAGAGGGACTTTGCATTTACTGGCTGGAAACCATTAATTGGATTTTTAAAAGTGTGGGACAACATTTGTAGCTGAAGCCTTGGAGATGTCTGGAACTCCAACACCATTAATTGGCACCAACTGGTCTGGAAAACCCCACAGACAATTACCCTGAACAAGTGTGAATAGGATCATCTCCTAATACATTATAGAACCCCAAGATTATCACCTGAGGACTACGCATCAGATGCATTCATTTCAAATGAAAAACTCTGGTTGAGAAAGGAATCCATCCCAGCCATAATACAAACCAAGTCAAAACCATCTGCCCGAATGTACAAACCATGACCATTTTTAGATTGGTCAGTTGGACAAAGCGGATCATTTTGTAAGTCAACTATGAAAGAAGAATGTAGAACACACAATTCATCTCCAACCTGATTGTTCTCATGTACCTGGTCTTTAAATGAGCTTGGCAGAGGATAAGCAGCAAGCTGCCTGCTCAAATTCTATAGGGAAGAGAAGTAGCTTAGGCAGATCTTGATGAGGTAACCTCAAAAGGAGAGAGATTTGCTGAAGAAAAATAAAATGCTCTTATCTCTTTCAAAGATTTGAATGATTTTCACCCAAGAAAATTAAAACAAATCAGAAACAATGACTGACCATTTGGAGAAGCCTCAGCTAATTATAGATCCTTTGTCAGTAATTTGTTAAAAAGGTTGGTCGTTGTGGTTGGTTGTCTTACCGAGCTGGTTCGTTGTTCCGCAGACGTTTCATTACCCTGCTGGGTAACATCATCAGTGCAGCCTCAGATGAAGCGTCATTGTGTTTTCCCGTCTGGTATTTAAACTCTGGAGTCCGTTGAGCTGGATTACCTCACTTCCGGTTTTCCTTCGCAGTGGAGTGTATATAGGGTCGAGTTCTATGTGTTTGCTGATGGCTTTTTTCATGGAGTACCAGACTTCTAGGAACTCCCATGCTTGTACCAGGATCTTGGTGTTGACCCAATTGAATTGCTGGTTCTCCTTATCCATGTGGATAGAGATGATGAGTATTGGTAGTCTTTTTGTAGCCAACTGATGTTTGCGTACCCTTCTTGTCAATTTCCTTCCCGTTTGTCCGATTGTCGTGTTTCTTACAGTCCCTGCAGGGAATCTTGTATGTGACGTTGGTCCTGTCCATAGTGGGTAGTGGGTCTTTGATTCGGACTAATGGCCGAGGCGGTGATGCAAAGACTGGAAAGTATGGCCCTTCCGCTAATCCAATTAAACTATGGATACACTATGTAGACAACACCTTTGTCATCATTAAACGGACCAAACTAGCGGAGACACACACAAACTAAAACAACACCCTCACCGGAATCAAATTCACCAGAGGACGAGGAGGAGGAGGAGGAGGAGGAGAACAACAAACAGGTTCCATTCCTGGACGTCACGGTAGAGCGCAGGACAAATGGGGAATTCCTAACGAAGGCTGAACCAAAGACCCACTACCCACTATGGACAGGACCAATGTCATATACAGAATTCCCTGCAGAGATGGTGAGAAACACTACATCGGACAAACAGGAAGGAAATTAACAACAAGGGTACGCGAACTTCAATTGGCTACAAAAAGACATGACCAATACTCATCATCTCTATCCACGTGGATAAGGAGAACCACCAATTCGATTGGGTCAACACCAAGATCCTGGGACAAGCACGGGAGTTCCTAGAAGTCTGGTACTCCACAAAAAAGCCATCAACAAACACGTAGAACTCCATCCCATATACACTCCATTGCAAAGGAAAACCGGAAGTGAGGTAATCCAGCTCAGACTCGAGTTTAAATACCAGGCGGGAAAACACAATGACGCTTCATCGGAGGCTGCACTGATATTTCCCAGTAGGGTAATGAAACATCTGTGGAACAACGAACTAGCTCTGCGAGCCAACCAACCACAACATCCACAACCCGAGCTACAAATCTACTCTAAAATCTTAAAGGTTGGTCATGTCTAACCAATTTAGTTAATTCTTTTGATGTCAGTGAGAATTAGGGGAAAACACTTCATTGACTATTTTCATTCCCAACACCAAACAAGATGATTCTGCTTCTTGGAGATCAAATCATCTCAGCCTCATGATAAACTCCACAGGGTAGTATCATTGGCTCAACCTCCAGCTGTTTCATAAAAAGTTCCCATAAAAAGGTCAGAAATGGGATAATTGCTAATGTTTCTGATATTCATTCTTATTTGTGATTTTTCATGACCGTTACTGACTAGACAACATTGAAATGTGAGTTGACAAGTGGCATGAAATGATTGCCCCACACAATACCAAGCCAATCTCCAAAAAGGAGAGAATCCAGTAGTTTCTTGACATCATGGTCACTGACCTTGCACCATCTACATTCTGGTAAGTTACTGTTGACCAGAAATGCAACTGAAATAGCTATGGGATTTGTATAGCTAGAAGAGAAAATCATAGATTCAAGGATTCTGTAGAAAGTAGCTCATGGCCAACACTAAAAGGTGTGCACAAGGATTGTAATGGAATATTCCCATCTACGTGGATGAATATGGTTCCAAAACTACATACCAACTCCGTCTACTGCCTGCATACAATGGCAGCAGTGTGAAGCACCTACAAGATGCACTGCAATAACTTAATTTGATTGTACTTCCAAACTTGAGACCTGCACAACCAAGGGAAGCATGTGCGAACACCACTATAATCAACTCAGGGTCAGCCTGAACAACGATTCAACAAAATGTCAAATTTCCAATCTGGACAAAGGAAAAGTTCCCTGAGCCATCTCATCTTGAAGGCCATACTTGTGTTATGAATGTGAGATTTTATAAGGTTTATTAAAATATTTTATTTTAAATCATATATCTTTAGAGAAATGAAGAGATGTGATCTCAGGTCTGCATGACAAGACGTTTATCTGGCACAGCCATTATGGGGACCATAGGTTCAGATCAGATATTACTGAAATGCAAGTATCACGTTTAATATGAAACAAAGGAAGAAACATATTACTGATGACTCTCCACCTCAGAGTTTGAACAGCAAGAGAGGGAGAACGAAAGATCAAGTGAGCCAAGGAAAAGCATTTGCTGTAGCCTATAGAGCAAATGGCTGTTTACTCTATCAATTACCAAGTGCAATTGTGGGGATAACTTCATTTATGTAAATGATTTGGATTAGAATATAGAAGGACTGGTTAGTAAGTTTGCGAACAACACCAAAATTGATGGCATTGTAGACAGTGAAGGTGGTTTTCTAAGATTACAGAGGGATCTTCATCAAATGGGTCAATGGGCTGAAAAAAAAAATCTAGATTGAACTCAATCTGCCAAGTGTGAGGTATTGCATTTTGGTACAACAAACAATTAATGTTATACAACTAATGGTTAGTGTTGTAGAACAGAGGGATACAGAGGTGCAGGTATATGATTCTTTGAAGTTTGCGTCACATACAGACAGGGTGGTTAAAAAGGAGTTTGGCAAGCTTGACGTCATTGCTCAGACCTTTGAGTATTGGAGATGGGAAATCATGTTGAGGTTGTGTAGGACATTGGTGAAGCCTCTTTGGGAATACTGTGTCCAGTTCTGGTTGCCCAGTTACAGGAAGGATATTTTTAAGCTGGACAGGGTTCAGAAGAGATTTACCAAGATGTTGCCGGGTATGGAAGGTTCGAGTTATAAAGAAAGGCTGGATACGCTGGGACTCTTTTCACTGGAGCATGAGAGATTGAGGGGTGACCTTATGGAAGTTTACATAATAATGAGTATAGATAGTGTTAATGGTAGTTGTGTTTTCCCCAGGATGGAGGATTTCAAGACTAGGGGGCACATTAA